AGATTTACTAAATAACATGAACATAATATGTTCTTATAACAAAAAATAACATGTTATCGTCTATTTTGTATATTGTTGTATTTATTAGTGAATACATTAGTAAAAAAAATTAAAAACGAAAAAATTTTCATATATGAACAACAACAACAACCACACTAAAAGCTAAAGTGAAAATATTCGTTTCTTTATATTGATATCGTCATACGATATCTTTCAAACTTAGGTTGACTAACTCGCATTGATATATTAATATCTATAACATTAATATTTGGAATGAACAACAATCAGCAAGACATTTAACTTGTCTTCGACACCTTGGGCTGAAAAGAAAGTTATTCTTGGAATGGAATGAGTTTAATAACTTCATTCCATTGAATCTAAAGTTACTTAACATTTTACTGCAGTCCTGACAACTTCTGGATAAACCTAATACATTCGCTCCATTTATATAACTGAATTGAAAGAAATTAAAGTCTCACGATGAATACCAAATAAAAATAATGGTAAAATTTAATAAAATAGTTATTGCAGTAGTATTCCAGATAACTGTATGCTATTAACTATAAGAGATTTTTCAAATATGTCCCTGAGATTTCATTTTTTAGAAACTAACTGTTAACTTTAGCTTATAATTGCTGATTAAGTGTTTATTAGGAACTAATAGAGGCTGTAAACAAATATTTGTGATCTGTTTAAATAATTGCCCTAATTTATTTTATTGGCAGATCTTCGTCGATAAAAATTTCCATGTAATCTTTTTATATATTATAAAACACAAAAGGCTATAAAGTAAAATTTGGCTAGAGCACAAATAGGTATGGTGTAAACATGTCTCCGATAGTTAAAATAACATTTCCAACCAGCGTAATTTATAAAATAAAATTTTGCATATTTAAGTTACATTAAACCAGAATTGTAGCTTAAATAAGCCAAGATGGGTGTTCTTTATGTTTCAATTCCTGATCAAAACCCAGATCAGCCCTGGAAGGATATAACTAACAGTCATTAACTAACTACATGATTACTCATACATCATGTGGGTTCATCAAAATAAATTTTCTACATGGATCATGAACTAGTTACAAGAATTGTTCCTAGCACAAAGACGTAATATTAACTTCCCAACTTTGATTTTTCCTTAAATATTGATGTCCAATATGCTGTAGTCATGATGTAGTACCAATCACACATAATGTAATTGTACACCAATCAACTGTACATGCTTTAACCATCTAGTCTGGTTATATAGGATGGTGCTTTGTATAACTGCCTTGATAGCTTTTAGACCACGTCAAACTACAAGAGATGGTACCAGGATGCATTTGAGGGTATATGGTTTAATAGTACAGGATGTTTAATTGACTTATATTTAGTCAATGTATAAGTAATTGGTTATTAATTCAAATAATTAGTCAATAGTGAATAAGTAAAGTACCATTATAATTATTATTATGGTACTGTACTTATTCACATTTATACTCCAGAGAATTACAGATTATTGAGTTGTTGGTACGACAAATATGTTATAGCTACTACCCAGGTAGTAGCTATAACATATTTGTCGTACCAACAACTCAATAATTTTAAGACAAATATCCAGCAATTATTTCTTTATTATAGTTGGACTGAAAATACTTACCAGAGTCTAAAATTTATCAGTTCAACATTTTATCACATACTTGATGAATTTAAATTGCATTTTACTTATTTCATATATTGAGTTATTGTAACGTATCTTACACTAATATAGACTTTAAATGTCAACCAGATATGTTGTGTTAACTTATTTAATGTGTCCATAAAAATTAATCAATAACATTTCAAATATATTTACTATTTTATGTATGAAATATTTTACAATAAAGATGAGTAATTGACTTCTAGCAATGAAAGCAACGATAATAAATTATAATAGAATTCCCTTTATTTTATAAAAGTACCAATGTCACGATTGTCATTTAATTAGATTTAAGACAGCCAAATAAATGCGCCGAACTTGTTTTGCAAATGAATGACAGATTTTGATCGAATACAAATTACGTTTTGACAGCTATTGCACATAAAGCAGTTTTTACTCCAGTATTGTATACACTTGCTGGGATGACTTTTGCTGGCAAATCGATATTTGCTTTATAACCCTGATTTACTTGTATGCAATTTTAATGTTTTAACGATCATTGTAAAACATTTATTTAGCTTAGTGTTTTGTCAGAACAATATTATAAGCATTTTAGTCAATGGATAAGTAGAAAAATCATGACATCCAAGGTGAAGGATAAAAATAACCATTTTTACATTCAATACTTATTTACCGTGCATTATATTCATTGTATTTTAAGGGAATCCGTTGATGAATATTCTCCTATGAATGGGAGGCAGATTTTATTTTTATGAAATTATACTAGGTATCTTTGGCAATTAAGGGTTATTTCGGTTTTTGGATGAGGACAATTTTTAAATTGCCTATTTTTTATTTGAAAATATACAATGGTTTATCTATTAAATATTTGGAAACCATGTTTTGCGTTAGTTGTAGCATCCTGTACCACAAGGCATACATTTTCAAAATTTAATGTTCGTTTAATATCAGCTAAAAAGAATACTTTTTTTGAACACAGTAGTTCAAAAGTAAGGCAATCAGAGGAAAAATTTTCTCTCCGTGTTTCTTTTAGTAATTTAAAAAGATACCCATATTTCCTTCTCATACGTAATGATCAATGGACTTTTACGAAAATTATTTTTAAAAGCCAGTTTAGCACTGCACATTAAAACATGCTTCTAGTAAAAGAATGTTTGGAAGCCAGGTTAAAGGTAGCTGAAAATTTCCAATAAATGTGTACCAATACTTTACAATACTGTTCTGTCAGCAGAAATATTCCGTCACTCAATATCGGCAGAGGAGAAAAATTTTAAGAATATTCTAGACAACCTGGTGGGAAAATATGTTTACGAAATCCATTTACGTGATTTAATGCCCTAATGGGTGTATTAGTTTGATTTCTAAACCCCCCCCCCCCAAATAATTAACTAATATAAGCAAAATTACATGTACCATGTGGTAAGTACATGTGGTAAGAAGGTAACCGTATAGTCTAAAATGGCCAGACATGATTTGACACTTATTTATTTAATCCAATCATATAAATAAAGTTAGCAATTCAATTTTAATACAAGTTTGTTTCATACCACATTTGTATAAGTGTTTAGACTTGATCTGTTTGAAATATCAAACATTTTATATGTTTATCTGTTGTTACTGATTATGGGGATTCTAATACAAAGATCGTTTTCCTCACCTAATAAATGTTTTCTTATTTATAAATATTTGAACCTACGTCTTACAGTTAAATATATCTTTCAACAATATTGTCCCGTTGTTATGATTTGGTAATTACGTAATTGTGTGATATACATATGAAAAAAATGTGTATCATACCTGAAGCCATTGAATACTTCATAAACTCTTTCCGTTCCTTAATTTAAGCTTTTACATCCTAGACATTAAGGTCGAAATTTAAAGATAGCTTCAAAGATAATTGCACGCTTGCATACAGGGTCATGGCATAATTACATAGAATAAATCTATTAGTGATCGGCGGGATCTGAACCTAGGACCTATGGCATTGAAGTAACACGCTCTACCACTAGACCCCCCCCCCCCCTAAGAAGAGGTTAAGAAACTATTAATTCCACATCGACACGCACAGTTTTGAAATCTGTTAAACATAGCTATACAAAACAAATCAACTATAATATAATTTGATAGTCTTCAGAAATTATTTCCCTAAACAATAAATGTATTCAAAATCATAAACGGAGCATTTAAATATATTTTGTAAATTTGTAATGCTCAAAACCAATCAAGTGAGTATTAACCACTGAATATACCAATAGACCTAGAGAAAAGTTTTTGTAACTGTCAGAAAAATGTCAGAGTGGGTCAAAATGTCGACAACAGGGCAACATCAGTCCTACGAGAGTAAGATCTAATCATAACCCCCAGTAATTGGCTTAGTCTGATCTTCCAATCATAGCCTTAACACCACCAAACTCAGCAAAAAAACTATTTTGGCTTTTTATTTTCCTTATTTATACTATTAAATGATTGTTTTATTATCCACGATAATCTAAAATTACCGTAACAAAATAATTACCTAGTATGTTTGTCACATATAAAACAACGAACATTGATCATAACTAAGCATAAATATTATTTGATTTGTTTATTTATTTTATTTTATTTTCCAATGCTACAAAACAGCACATGCCAATTACTCTGTAGCTCATGTAAAAAGTATATGTGTGTGTGTGTGAGTATTACAATATATAAATGAATTATATATATGAATATATAAATAATAATATATAATAATAATAATAATAATAATATATATAAATATATACAATATATAACTGAACATTATAACAAAACAATGACATAAATTATTAGTTATGTTACTTATACATGCAAATCCATTATCAGTTAAAGTGTAGAGTTTAATAAAGTATGTTTAGTACCTAAAATTTCCAAAAATTATCTTTCTATATTAATTACCTAAATTTATATAGTTATACTATCTCTGTTTCTTAGTTATATAATTATATAGTTAACCTGTAGTCATGCCTTAGTATACTGGTTTTATTACTTAAAGATTCACGCGATCTTTAGAGCTTCAAGAATTTGATATAAATCCTTCTGTCAGTTTTATAACTGATCGCCTTAAGCTGTCTCTTATATTCACATATATTTTTACAATTTATTAGTAGAATTTCCCGTTGGAATCAATAACATACATTGAAATAAATAAACGGACGCCTTCTTCAGTTTGAGGTCTTAGCTCATTGATCTCGACTAATATTCTTGCACCAAGGAAGCTTTCATCATTCTGTTTCATTTTGTATTGTAGCGTCATTTGTATTACTACTGCGTTTTATGTAAACAAACTTTTAAGCATTATCAGCTGACGATTTTCCCGCCAATTTCACCGGTCATGTTACAGGTGGTGGCGGTAGTCTCGGTGTTCTTCATCTGCGTGTCCGTCTTGTCCTTCGCCCTCAAAACTCACCCTGACATGCGGGTTCCTACTATCCGCAACCGCACCATAGCGATGCCTAACCACACCATCGTCTGGACCCTGGAGAAGGAGCGCACAGATCCCCACGACGCCTTCTTCTATGTCGAACTCGCCTGCAACGCATGGTTCACGTTCGAACTTGCCGTCCGCTCAGTGGTGAGTAGTTCAGAGTCCTTTGATGCTAGCGGCCATGTTGGATAACTTAAAACAGCTGCTGAAGGGTTAATTATCATCCAAAAATAGTATTTCAAACTTCAAAGTGATTATAGTTTAAATATCTTGTATACAATGAGATTAAAAATTGTCCGTGTTGTTTTGAATTGATTTCCGAGGGAGTTCATGGAAGCCAATGGCCATCTTGGATTTGCCCGACATAAGAACAATGTTAATTTAGTTATGCGTAAACATCCGCTGAAGAGTTATTTACCATCTCAAACATTTTTTTCAAATACCAAAGAGATTGTAATTTAAATAATTATCTAGCATACTGTGAGATTTTCTTTGTATTTTTTTAATTGTTTTATGAGTTTGAACGTGAAGTTGAGGATCAAAGTTTGGTTATTATTTGCAACTGATTAATGTGTCACGTTATGCTTATGGTGAAATTACTTTTCAAACAAATAGAGGTAAAAGGTTTCAGGAAAATGGTACCAAAAATGCATTTCTACCTAAATATGCAAAAACTTGTATTCCAACCTAAAATTATGATTGATAAATTTACTTCGCGTCCTCGTTTATAGGCTTATTTTTCCAACATATGAAGTATCCTTAAGGAGTCAATATAGATTTGTAGATGAACTACTCACAATTCTTAGGTAACGTGTTTTAATTATGTTTGTTCGATTTTGTTTTTGTTAGCGTGATAAATATTTCATTCAGAGTATCACTTAACATTTACAAATGATTTCCACAAGTGAATTCACTACTGTACTAAGTTTGCCAATCAAAGGGATGTTAAGTTCAGCAATCATTTCCAGCGATTACCTCTGAATGAGATTATCTTTAGTCAACTATAACATTCACAGTTGATTCTGTTAACTGAGACAGTGAATTTTGCAATTGAATTAGTAATGTTCATAACAGTTTAAAAATGGAAATTTGTTCAGATGTATTTTTAAACCCTAATTTGACATATCGTGTAGTTTTAACTGTTGGCATTGTTCCGCTTATGAAAAATAGTTCAGTCACTGTATTGGTAAACAGGATGTACAACTATACAGTTTCATAAAACTAAAACCCTGTGTATAGGCTTACTTAGGAACGCTTTGGTTGTTTTATTAATAATAGTAAACAACAACAAAATCACTGAATGCAACCTTGAAATTTAATAATAATAAAAATTGAACATAGTTAATTCCTTTGGATGAAATGCACGACTAACACTATAAATATTATAGGTGATAAAATATGCATACTATTACACCACAGATAATTGGAATAAATAAAAGGATGGACACGAACTCTTTACTGTAATCTTCTTACACCTTGAGTAATGAAATAAAAAATGACGTTTTGATGGATCCGATATTAAATTGCTGTCATTTGAAAATCTTGAATCGGAAAGGAATAACCTTTCACTTAAAACATATTGAGCGAAGTTGATTAGATACCTTGCTATAGGTTTACGGTTAGTCATTTGAAATAAAAATAAAAAAATTGAAAACTGAATTTACAAAATTACAACAACACTAAAAAAATTGACAATAACACATTACTAATTTCAAATTTTATGGGAAAGATGAAGATAGTACACAACTTTGCTTTTGGTTCCTTACAATTTTTTACTAATAAATAAATATTATTACTAACTAGCCAATGGTTCTAGAAGGGGTGTAGTAAATTGTCTAAATCTGTATATGGTATAGACTAAAATTAATGTTCGGAATCCATTAGTTTACAGGTTAGGATAGATTGCCATAGGTCATCATTCACAAAATTAATAAAGTTTTTTTTAAAAATACACGCGTAGCCTATATACAAACATAAATTTATATTTTGCCTAATTTAACATGATAAAACCTTTTAAAATTAAGCCATAGCTTATGTCACTTAACGTTACCAGTTGTATGATTTTCCAGTAAAATAAATAATTGTTTTAATCATCTGGGTCTAACAATATACAGTATTCGCTTTTAAATGTCATGGACAAATTATAAAATAGGATCCAAAAGTCATAGTTAGGAAAATGGCTATGCAAATGGCGAAACAAACTTGTAATATCTAAATTAGAAAATGTGTTGAAAACATAAGCTTTCAAAGGAAAACAATACGAGTACAATCCACATTTTTTTAAGTGTTTATTAAAACTATATTTCGCATTTATTCTTTAAAGAAAGAATGTTGACATACTCTCTCAAAGTACAAAAAATACATCAAATAACTCTTGTAATAATATATTTACACTCATACTGTTTGTTGTGATCGATTTCGATTGGACACTCCAATCATCAGACCCAACAAGCGAATCTCTCTCTGATGATGATTTGGAGTGTCCAATCGAAATCGATCACCACAGAAAATTTGTTATATTTATTTACCGTCTTGTGAGTAAACAGTATGAGTGTAAATATATTACAAGTGTTATTTGACGTATTTTTGTACTTTCAGGTAATTTAATAACACCAAGAAGTTCTGTTAATATTGAGCTTCATCCTAAGCAAAAACAACTAAAAGAATATTAATTAATTACCATGGTCAGACAGGAAAGTGCTTTATTTGTATAGCAAGAAGATGATCGAACGTGGTTTAAATCTACACATAGCTCCTATGAGACTTGTCTAAGTCCCATTGACATTAACGTAGTGGTGGTACATAAAGCCTTCAGTACGTGTTGACTTTATGAAGCAATCTCTTTTAACTTTATTAGGCTGTAAATTCTAGTTTACGCTCTTGTACTTTAGCTTTCGCAAAGGAAATTTTATAATTCACAGCTATGCTGCCTTGCAGTAGGTCAGACAAATAATTTAAAATTCTTCGTAAATTCACGTGTTATTCCCTAAAGAATAAATGGTTTAAAAACACACTAACGTCCGTGATACTCCAATCTAAGGATATGTATTAATATATAATATTGACAACAAACAATCTTATAAGTCAATAAATTAAATAATAAGTAAACCTTTTTAAAAAAAAACTAGAGATGATTCCCGAATTTTGACATTGCAACTACGTTTTGTCAGCTATTTTTATATAAAGAAATTATTTGCTTAAACAAGGATGAGTGTAGGATGAGTGGCGCGATCTTCTAGTCTTGTTAGTGACTAAGGCCGACATGTTCCTTAGACACAGCTGTTAATTAATAGCCCATACAGCTAATGACAACTAAGGGACCTACAGTTTATTGTGGAATCCGAACCACATTTTTTCCTCGTAATTAACGAATTGGTCTAATTATTAGGATAGTACTGCGGGTAGTCGTAGTACTCACTAGCACGGATGTTAATCCACACCAGGGAGCATCGCATCCACCGTGCATCCCTATAAATATCCACAATTCGTGACCTCCTAGTAGCTGGATTACAGGACGACGCCACCCGTCCCAGTCCACCGCCGTTCTCCACCAGGCGTTGATGTCACAAATACCACTATTTGACTGAAAATGTTACCATTCTTACATATTATTATGAAATAATAATAATAATGTTATAATATAATAATAATGTTAAAATAATGTAATTTTGTTTGTTGTCATTTTATATACAAGAGCATTAAATGTCAATTTTACGTAATAAACAATGGAGTCTTAACAACAAAATGTAAAACAGTACATAGGTTTCATAAGCAAATTGTTTTCGGGAAAGAAATTTTCCAGATTTGGTTGCATTAAGAGTTAGAGATTTTATCATTTAACGCAGAAACAAAATAAAATATTTGTGTCAAAAATAAATTGATTCAAGTGTTCTTTTAAAAAAATCTCCGTTATTGTTTTTTATATAATTTTCACAAATACAAGGGTAAAATTATAATTAGAGGATAAGTATTGTTGACCTACTCCTCAATAAATTGAAACAATAAAAAAAATATTATTATTGCTCTGTAAGGGCGTCCGACCTAAAACATGAACGACTTCCCCATCAATATCATTATAATATAACAAACTGGTCATTGGACTAGACCTGTTCTGCATAAAAACGTAAACTTTAATTCTGATTGCACTTCTATTTGGTACATTAACAAAAACGTGTTTATGGTTTATTCAGTAAAAAATAAAATTATTAAACTATTAAAAGGTTTTTGTTTAGTTAAACACAGACGAATGACATTGATTTATTTTCTCCAGCTATATGGTAATGCTCATTCTGAATTTGGTTTATTTACATAAAATTCTTTAGACAGTTTATAATTCCGGTCAAAACGGAGAAGTTAAATTAGAATTGGGATTGTTATTCTAAAACAATCGGCTGCTTGGCCTAAAGACAACTTTGATTGAAATATAATTGTTTCCCTTGTTCATTATAATACGGTCCATTTTAACGTCATAACATCATATTCACAAACCGGATTTCCTTAGTGAGTTTAAGTAATAATTTTATTTATTTTATTTTGTGTGTTTTTACGCCAGTAGCATTTTTTACTTTTTGAAAGGGAATGGTCCAAACCCTGATGTTGTTACTATCTGACGTCGACCATTTTGTTAGATAGCATTATCAATTCATAGTCCAATGACAAATATAATCTGGGTCTGGAAACGATCTAGCATGGATTCGAAACAGCAACCTTCAGATTTGGAAATGCTTCTATTAGTTTTATAACTTATCATTTATTATTCCTTACATGTGAAATATTTGTTCTCCTTGCCTTTGTCTCTAACCCCCTAAAAATTTGACTACAGTGTGCAGTTAACTGTACACATTTTTTTTAGAATTTTTTTAACTTTTGACTGAAGAGGAGTTCGGTTTAATTTAAAAGTCTTCCATGATACCATCGCGTCCTTTGAGATTCAATATCGTTGAGGGAGCAAGGGTTAATAATTAATTCATGAAAAATTACTTTAACTAAACTTTATACTCTAGTGTTTACATTTAAAATATTTTTAAGTGAGTAGAGCTTGGATGTCATTTCACTTCGCATAAAACATTCCCTGACAGATAATTTCATTTTAGCATTTATGAAGTTATAATTTTAACAGGATAAGTATCTTACGAATCAATGATTTTAAACTAATTGTATTTGCCCGCTCATAACTATGGATCTGTGCGTGGAACCATAGATTAAACATACAGTACTCTCTTGGGGTGGAACGTATCCATAAATAACAACATGTTATTATGTGTTGTAATTTTATGTCTATGAACGTGTCCAGCAAAGCAAGGAGTGAGCTAGTACAGTACAAAGATGAAGTGTACTGTTAAAAATTTGTGGCAGTGACCGAGATCAGAACCCACGACATCGCAGCCTTGGGCCCGAAGTTCGTAAAAGGCGGTTTCACACTGGCGTCCGCGGACGATAATTTCGTCCGCGGACGGATGAAGTGATTCGGATGGATGCTACGCGCCCCCTTCACATTGCGAGCTACGTTTCAAACGTCCACTCATTCGCGCATGCGCATAGGGAAGTTGGCCATTCCTTCAACAATCATAATCATAGATTAAACATACTTCCTCTTACAACTCAGTGAAGGTGTGCAAAAGCCTTCTGTCCCATGGTGTCAATCCGGATTTTCTGTTCTGTGGCTTGATTCAAGTAGTGATGATAGTGACGATGAGGTTGTATTTTTGTACTCATTATCAAAAAGGAGAAAGTGGGTTCATCCGATTAACAGTAAGCGGCAGCGATTTGGTGAAACATTGTAATAATGCAAATAATCATAGCAATACAAATCATTGTAATAATGATTTACTGTACAGTAATTCGTATAAATATACATGGTTATTGGTTAGGATACTTTATTATCTTTTTAATCTCTTTGGAGTGTAGTCGCAATTTCCAACAAAATTTTATCTTTCTCTTGTTGATCTCTATAAATTTCTATAGTTGTATCCCAGATAACTGGGTAGGCACGGACAGTCTCAATTAATTCAGCCATATCAAATAACACGGGAGGACACAAAACAACAACTAGATGAACACTATGACTGTCAACACAAACTACTAAACACTGTGATGCGAGTGACACATGCCTCGCTGAGAGCTACACCAATGAATACACAAACTATAGTTTGTGTATTCATTGGCTACACGTGGTTTGGTGCTCTGTCTGCGCATGCGCGAGGGCGTGATCGTCCGCGGACGTTTTAGAAAAATCGCTCCCAGAGCGATTCCGCCAAATCGTCCACGGACGAATTTCTGCATCCGCGGATGGACGCTACGTTTCAATGGGTGGTGTGAACAACCCACCTAAAGGTTTTTCGTGCTTATTTTGGACCTATTTTAATTTATAAAGGGATTCTGCACATCTACAGAAAAATATCTTTAATTTGGTCCCATCTGATAACATGGGCAGCGATTTATTTTCGCATCCGTCCGCGGACGAAGAAATCGTCCGCGGATGCCAGTGTGAAATCGCCTTTAACGCTGCCAACTCGCCCAATAATAATTTATGGTGGGAATTAGTATTTTTATTGTCAATTTTAACTGAATACCATACTATTTTGGAACCATTCTTATTTGATAGTTAAAGTGCCTATGCCAATACATCCACTATACAAACATGGTGTGCTGTGGTGACACATGGTGTTTTACTTATACATTTAGAGAGTTATAAGTATTGTGAAATACTGAAATATTTGTGACGTTATAAATTGGCTAAGTAAAGACAGACACAAACCTCGCTTTCAACTAAGGGTACCTCAAGTTAAAGAATGCAAAAATAAATTGACGTTGTGATGGATCCGATATTAAATTGCTTCCTCTTGGAAAACTTGAATTGACGGGTAATAACCTTCCATTTATAACATCTTGAGTGAGTTTGTATATTGAAAAATCTTTTCACAAAGTGAGTTTAATTTTAGTACCATTATAAATGTAATGTATTAAATGTTATCAGATGATCGTTAATTTTACAAACTGTGTTTTGATAGTAAATCACAGGAGAATTATAAATAGTTATAAAAATGTATACAATTTCTTTGATAATTTAGATTGTTTAAAAAGTTAAAATAGTTAACAGTAAAATATAAACCGTCCAGTCGATGAAAACTCGACCAAAGTATGATATGTACAGATTTCTCTATTCTCGCCCCACATTGTAAATAAAATATGTGATTGGAATTTGTTTGGATTTTCTGTTTTTATTTTGTTGTTATTTTGTCACCAGCATAGCAACCGACATGGGCCATGTTAATACAAAATAAAAAAATTATATTAATTTTTCGTGCTTATTTTGGACCTATTTTAATTTATAAAGGGATTCTGCACATCTACAGAAAAATATCTTTAATTTGGTACCAACCGCGTGTAACTCGGTCCAGTAGTATGGTCAGACTAGCTGTCATAAGTTTTGCAAATGTTTTTTAGTACATAAGAAGATGTGATATAATTTCTTTTGATAATATAGATTATTTAAAAAAAATATGTATTTAAAGACAGTTTCCAAGTAGATAAAATCCTATATTCCAGTTTTTTAATTTTCGAATTATATCTCATATACAGTACAAAATTCACGTATATGTGTGTGTGTGTCTTAAACCCCTTAATAATGTTTAAATCATTGAGTATTATTTCAAATGTTATTTGACATTTGCAATTTTATTAAGTTGATTGTTTTGGATGGTCACAAATTTCAGGTGGTATATTACATCTAGTTCTACTATTGGTTATTGCTTATCACTACAAATAAGACTCTAAATAATCAAGTAACATTCAAACAATAACATTGACAAATAATATTCTTAGTCAACACAATTTATGTTAATTGAGTTCCTAACAAAACATATTTAACAAAGGTCCAAATTAAAAATCTTTTTACATCTCTATTGTTTAGAAAGCTTCCCTCTTCTTCAAGAGCAAATAGAGTTCTCAAACTCCTATTTAAATAATAGGTTAGTTGATTGTAGTGCTTTCCGGCTGTTATTTAAATGTTTTTCGATTAAACACAACACATATTAATTAATTAGATCAGATGATAATTGCGTTCATCTAATTAATATTATTCATGAAAAATACCAATATAGATAACCCCATAGGCCTAATATGGAGGGATTTTAGTAAGAAAAAATATTGTTTCCTCTTAATTATTATTTAATTGAAACGTGATTAATACACGGGGGTTGTGTTTATCTTTATAGTTTAGTGATTTAAAAATCTAATAATAGATCCATAGGTGTACATGGAGTTCAACATGTAATGTACATTCTTACCAGTTGCTCTGAGATGCTTTTAGAACGATAATTTACCGCCCAATAAGATTAGAGAAGATTGCTCCATAAAGTTAACCGAGAGTTCTCTTCTAGGCTTACAACTATAAAGAAGACTGCTACATTGTTCTCTCATAAGACACTGGAATAACTAAGTTCTGAACAATTGTTTTAAAATTGGTATACTTATAGTTTTCATTTTATTTACATGAATTGTCTTAAAAAAAATTTTGTAAGTTTCTAGAAATATTTATAAAATTTTTAATAATATTTAGAGCATACATGTGGTCTAAGCTTATAAAAAGTATTTTGAATACAAGTATTATTTATGTATCAAACTCCTATACATATCATATATAAGATAAACATATAAAAAAATATTTCAATAAAGGGTAAAATTTTTTTTATTTTTTCATGAAGTAGACAGCAAAATGTTGGATCCCCAACAAAAAGCTTGTTAACTTATTTGACGGTAAAATTACTTTGTAATGATTTAATAAAATCTCGTTTTGTTACTTTAAAAAATGATGAATTGAAATAATTGAAATACATTTGAGTAACCAAAGTGATACGATAGCAAAAAGAACCATTAGGTTGTTTTTACGACTCTGTAAAAAATATTGGATTTTACTAGATATTAAATTGACATTAATGCAAGTTATCTCGGTAACAAGACTTCTGAATATTTTTTGAACACTCTTTAAACGTCTCACTTACATTGTAATGCTCGTCCAATATTTTTATTGGGACATAAACGGAACATAACTTTAAGTTATGTGCTGCTAAACGTCACACCTGATTGGTAGAGCAAATTGTTATTTTAAATTCGTATTTAAATGTCATAAGGATGAGGTTAGATTTTGATGAAATTTGGTACGCAGGTCCATGGTCTCTCCAAGAGTTTTTTTAAAATTTATTTTGAAATGTCTTTGCTTTTGATGGTGATCTTTAGGCTACATAAAACCCCTGAAATAACTAAAAATGTAGTATGTTGTAGTCCTTTAAATTCCAAACAAAATAGTAGAACTCCCATGCCTGTGAAAAGTATGGCTCCAAAGTTATTGTAACTTGTGTAATTTTCCCATAAAACCCATAAAAAGCGAAAAAGTGGTTTAAAAACGATTCTGATTGAATTTCGTCTGTTATGGTAATTGCAAGTCTAAACAAAGTTAATGCAACTTTTGTGATTTTACCTGTTAAATATCGCAGTTAATTACTCTCATCGTTTATCCATAAAAGAGGTCGTTGACAGGCTAATGGAAGAAGGTATGTGTCCGATTACTAATGTATTTCAATTTATTTAGTTCAATAATTAGGGTATACTTGCTATAGTTAATTGTTTATGCTTTTACAGGTGAGCCCCAACCTTGTGCAGTTCATCAAGTCGCCAGTGAACGTCATAGACTTTGTCGCCACGTTGAGTTTCTACACCGATATCCTCCTACAGAGCAGCGTAGCTCATCACATAGACAAGTCGGACATTCTAGAGTTCTTCTCCATCATCAGGATACTGAGGCTGTTCAAGCTGACCCGTCACTCGCCCGGGCTCAAGATCCTCATCCACACCTTCAAGGCCTCCGCTAAAGAGTTGACCCTTCTTGTGTTCTTCTTGGTCCTGGGTATCGTGGTGTTCGCCTCCTTGGTGTACTACGCGGAGAAACTCCAGGTTAGTATTGACACATCGATTACATCAATTATATCAATTATTTAAAATGAGGACGCCATAACTCAAATTTGAGTGAAGGATGAGTGTAGGGCGAGTGGTGCGATCTTGCAGTATTGTTACTGACCAAAGCCGACATGTTCCTTAGACACAGCTGTTAATTAATAGCCCATACAACAAATGGGGACCAAGGAACCTACAGTTTATAGTGGAATCCGAACCGCATTTTTCCTTGTAATACAAATTGGTCTAATTATCAGGATAGTACCGATAGTCGTTGTACTCACTAGTGCTGGCGTTAATCCACACCAAAAATTATTGCATCCACAGTGCATGCCTATAAATATCCACAATTCGAGACCTCCTAGTAGCTGGATTACAGGACGGTGCCACCATCATATAGTGTAGAAGTAAACTTTGTAATAGACCACAATCTATATATTCTTAAAGGTTTATTGTACTCTTTTTATATAATAATAAGGTAAAATATGTGCTAAAGGTCTTAACGATTTCTTACAGTAATGTTTTTAAAATACTTCAAAAGTAACTTAACACAAAGATTGTATTACAGCTTACATTTTGTGTGCATAGTTAGTCATACAAATTCGTTAAACTAAGAAAACGTAGATTAAAATAACAAATACTTTACCAAAATTTAATTAGGAAAACTATGAACATCTAGGAAAAAATACAGAACAATGAACGTTTACACATTTGAAATATTCCTCAAACCAGAGCTCTCACTATTGATCAGATACGTTTTATTAGTGGATATATTTTCAAATGGTGGTAGTGGTAGTAAACCTACACATTCCTAATTTGTTTAAGAAGTCGCAATACACATTGTTCTGCCCTCCCCGCAAAAGAAAAACGCTCCTTCATAGTCAGAGTTCCAAGAGTGCAAATATCAACAGACCTATTATTAATTTACTCACAAAATATTGAAATTAATGTATTAATAATTTAAAAGCATACACATAGTGTTTTAAAATTAGTGCATGGATTAGTGTTGGTTTTAAAATTAATTATGATAATTTAAAATGTTTATATGTTAAAATTAAATTTTAGTAGTTCTACCAATAATATTTCATACGGTGGAAGGCTATTAACTTGTTTGTAATTAATTTAAAATTGTTTTCCTCAATTTGGTAGACATACTGGTACACTCTGAAGTAGGAATAATTAGTGTATGCATGTTAAATAAAAAACAACTTTTCATTGGACTACACCTTTTTTAAATTTTCGGCCTTCCTGGCTATAGACACATCATATGTCCATGTCACATCTCATTTTCCAAGGAACATTAAAAAATTATATTTATTTTATATTTTATATTTTTTTACAATTTAAAATTATAGTTTGCGAAATTATATTTTAGGTAATGATTCGGTATACAATAGTTAGTATTTCATTTTATGATAAGGCAAAATAATTTATTCTTTAAGCCCTTCCAAGTAAAATTCTTCTGAAATAAACAGTACAACATTATAAAATCGTTTGCTGGGGGAACTTTCAATTTCACTTAACAAAAGTGCCGTCACAAAACAAATTTAGGTCAAAAATTACAAATTGTAGGACTACGAGCGTTCAAACATTGTTAGTAGTTCTCGACGAGCTTTAATTAGATTATTTGTGGATGTAATAACACCACATTTAACTCCTACTAATTTGTCATGTTATTGTAGGCCAACCCACACAACGACTTCAAGAGCATCCCAGAGGGCCTGTGGTGGGCGATCGTCACCATGACGACGGTGGGCTACGGTGACATGGCTCCTAAGACGTATGTGGGTATGTTTGTGGGAGCTCTGTGTGCGCTGGCGGGAGTTTTAACCATCGCCCTCCCTGTCCCCGTCATCGTCTCCAACTTCTCTATGTTCTACTCCCACACACAGGTAAGTAAAAGTTTGTTAAACTTTGCGTTGCCCTCTAAAATGTTACTTAATAGTTTCAATGTGTAGGCATTCTGTGGTTGCGTAAAAATACGAGGTGTGTAGGCCGGATTCGTGAACTGGCATATCCAAGCTATTAGATATTTTGGTCAGTCCTTTTGTAATAAAACTCGTACTTGCCATAAGCAATTATTTAAAGAACTAGCTTATATTAATGAGAATCAAGACGAACTCTTTAATTAATTTTTACAATAAAAGCACACTCGTATCGGTATTGGCCATCGAATTGCTGTCAAAGTTATACTTTAGACAAGCTTTGATTGTATTACTAATGTTCTTAAGTGCAGATCTAAAGGTAAGTTAGCATTAATTTGAGGTCAGTGCTTACCATTAAGTGTTAAGTGAATACTAAGACCCCATGTTAATGGATCTGGCAGAGTTTCTTTTTGACTTTTTGGCAAGCATCATTAATGCTGGAAAATAAGCAGCCATAAAGGAAACGTAAAGTTTGGACTTTGCATGTTATTCTAATGAGCGCAGAGGATAAAAGAGGGAAATGAATAATTCCAGACTTTGGAAGCCTACTCTTGCCAACTTGGTATGTATTCTGTTGAACTGCCTTTGAATTGTAATTCTCATGAGCCTTAGAGGTCGTCCAAGATCATCATACAAGAATATTGTTTTAATTGTTTAACGTAATCCCGGTGATTTATTTATTCTTTAATGAATTACATGCTCTATCTCATCATCATCCCATTCGTAGTGCTACACGCTAAGAATAAATATTTACAAATCTTTTCCAAATCACCTGACATATACAAAACCAGTAAGACAGCAGTCCCTATCTAACCCATGTTAATATGACAATTGTTAGATAATGGTACACATAACATTTAAAAATATTAACCTACACATTTTTTAAATAAGTTTAATACATTACCCATTAACTATAATAAGAAGTAAATATTTTTTTTACAAAAATACATTTTTTGTATTATCATTAAAATTTTATAAAATATTTTGTAAAATTTAACATAAAATATTTCTTTATTAAAATGTTTTTGGTTTTCATTGAATCTGATTCCTATTGTGTTTCCTATAATATGAGGGACACAATCAACGAATTTTATTGAAATTTGATTATAATTGAGTAAGAAAAGTTAACCTTACTAAAAAAATTTGGTAAACGACAAAAGTACCCCCTTCAAGTAGGACCTTGAACATGCTAAAGAAAGAGTTAATAAAAGTCACTGTAAAAACGAATTTTCTTCCATAATATTTGGTATCTACGTGTTCAGGAAAGTCTGTTCTACCAAATTAAACAGCAAAAAAATTATATTTTACTACTGTCTTACCTTAAAACTGCAGGTATCTATTGATAGTTTTTTTTTTTCATTAAAAGGTCGAGGCTGTATATGAACCATAAATTCTCTTTGAAGCTGCACTATGAACAAGTGAGTTAGGGACGTATCAGTGGCCATGGTTACCCGCATAGCACAGCTCTACTGGTATCGTACCTGTGGGTATTTAAAATATGTCTCGGTTAAAAAAGTTCTATGTCATGATGTTATAGCATTCTAAAATTATTTTTATCATCGAAAACTGATCATAATTAATTGTATTGATCTTTGATAATGTGTATTGAACTAAACTATTCGCTCGTTAGAAAATTGTAATGTTTTAGGTATATGACGTAGAGTGGAATTTCGTTTGCTAAAATTATCCTACATTTCAAAAATTCGTTTTATACTTGCCTCAATTTCGTTCTTCAAGTTTTTCTTTGACGTCATTTTATGACTGCTAAAAGTTTGATTATTTCAACCTATTAGTTTAGTCATGTATTGCCATAGTTCATAAACAAAAAATAACGATTGAATAAAATATAAGTATTTTTTGAATCCATATCATGCGTAGTTTTTCAAATACTCTGCATACATCTTATATTGCGTAAATGGACTTATTACTCGTGGTAGAAACTTATGACAAGACATTTAGAAGACTATCATTACTACAATAACTGATAGTGTGAATGGTGTCGATTTATTTGTGAATAATCTAGTTTGATAGATATAAACAGGGTGTTTTTAAAAGTATTGTACTTAGTTTACTAGTTGTACTTAAAGGATCCAAAGCTTAAATTTATGATAAGTGGTCCATAAACCACAGGTATATGGCGGGACTCCAGGCTCTATCTCTTAAGTCAGCTTAAAGCTTATTTTGATGATTGAAGTTTAGGTTTTATGCAAATGAGTAGCCGTATATTTTTCTAGTATAACCTATTTTGGAATTTTTCACAACATAAAAAGAATAAAACCCCAAACTTGAACAAGCATTGTTAACATTATTATCACCACTGTACGAACAAGTTCCATAGCCAAAGTGACGCTGTTGTTAGAAAATGAAAAAAGGTGGAAAATACACTTTAGGTCTGAATGTTAAACTTATCATCATGATATACATAAACACTAGTACACATTTCATAAACGTAAATTTTGTATTTTAGTTAACTTAATAAATCAGGTACAAAAATTCGTTACTTCTTGTTATCATATATGAATAGCTGTTTTACAAACAAATTGTGTAATAGTACACACACACAAAAATAAAGTTATATTTCACCATTTAAATTATTTTAAATTGTATTTCAAATTGTTGTTATATATTGTAGTGTTAAATGTTAATGAAAATGTATAATTTGCAACAAAGTAAGTTATTTAGGAAATGACGATAAACACAAACAAATGTTAAAAACGATACGATGATATTTTTGTTTATCAAGATGAAATTCCTCGGGAAAAATCAATTTACGACTTTTATAGATCTGAAAATGTAAAGTAAGGGACCATGTCTTCAGGAAATTATTTTTTGTTTAAGGAGAAAAGAGCTACTTTAGTCCCACAACAGCTGCCACCGTAGCCTCTTTTTATAGAAGGCCACGGCGTTGGTGTGTGGTTACGTCGAACAGGCAGACCTGTTGCTATAGCAATACCTTCTTTATTTATTTATTAATTAATAGGTTAAATAACTTATTTACGTTTTCAATACAAGTCATCTTTTAAGATGACTATAGTTTCGGGGCAAACAGCCCCGTTGTCAAAACTTCTGTCTTGTTAAATTACTGTTGATAGCATTGGTCATCGTTGAAGTTCACGTGTATGCATACATTCACATTATACGAAACATTGAAAATTAATATTTCTCTTCTTTCTTCTTTCCCCACCATTTTCTTCGTTCTTTTTTATGTCCCCACCATCACATCCTAGGACGCGAGGCTCTAGCCCAGGACTGTTTTACACACAACTTCAGGCTAGTCCTAGACAGTCACGGCATTATCTAATAGATAAAATCAATTGGATTGAACACGGGAACTCAGGCTCCGAGGTCCCGAGCTCTACAAGAACAGTTAGCACCCCAACCATGGTGATACAAGTAATAACAATAATGTAAACAAACAAGATGCCACGTTATGAATTTGTGAAACAGCTGTTTCAGCCATCGTTTCAGCACGGGGCTATCAGCAGGCCGAAGACATCTTTCTGCCGCGGGGCGTTCTCGTACTAGAGGAGGTCATGTTGCAACTCGTGAAATGAAAACAGCGGTTTTTCTGCGGTATGACGGAAAAACATTATTCTACTAACAAAGTGTCTTATTAACACTCATTTTTGTATACTAGTTGCCCTGCCCGTGCTTCGCCATGGGGAGAGAACACATAGATGTATGGTGGTTCTTCACCATCTCGTCCAATGCAAACCACTGGATTATTAGGCGCTTGTTCTTAAAAAATTAGTTTTATCAATGCACATGTCACAAGGCAGAATACTCAACAGATAACACATAAGGCTCCTCCAAACTCTATGGTTCTTGCGTCACTTAATTATATCCACAACATTTGTCTGCAACATAAACTATAGATTTTCAAAATATATAATACTAAACTAATAAGTAAACAATTGAAAGAGAATTCAAAGTTTTGAACACCATCCCACATTATAAGAAAAACGTACTGTAACTTTTCCTGATGCAATATAGAAATCTATGGAATAACCAAAAGGTTAAGCCAAAAAAGTAAACAAACTAAAACGAAAACAAATCCATTTGCTGGTATATCTTTAATATTAAATGTGGTCAAATACATCCCTTTAATTGAGTATCAAGAAACTGATATTTTTCGTGGAAGTTTGACATCAAGAACTTTCATTAAAGTATACGGTTAATAGGCTTACGGCTTACAGTTATTCTCGAAAGTTCAAATCCATCCTAGCTTTAATATAGATTATTTTCAAATAATGTTAAAAAGACGTAAAGTCTTCAAGATTAGTGCGAGATTTACTGATGATTTATTCAGTTTTGTTAACGTAACAACTGAACATTTAAGTCTAATAAGACAGTCTCCTGGGTCTAAACTTTAGTTACAGCGACGAAGTCTAGGGACAAACAAACTTTACTGATTTAACTTTATAAAATATCCTCTGATTTAAAATGAAATAACGTTTTGTATTATAACTAACTAGCTGTACCCGAGGGCTTTGCCCCGTTTAACTTCATAAGTATTCGCATGGCTCATTCTCGTCCTGGTTGAAGTTCGTTCGCTACGCTCACTCACCTTTAAGTTGTAGCTCGTTCGCTGCGCTCACTTGCTTTCAGGTTAGCTCGTTCGCTACGCTAACTCGCCTCCAGGTTGAAGTTCGTTCGCTACGCTCACTCACTCACTCATACCCTGTTGGTAATCCTTGTAACTTTTATGCTATTGAACATCATAGAACAGAACCAACTTGTTTAATTGAAACAGCTGTTAAGATTCATTAATTCCTTTTAAATATGAAAACTCATAAGGTTAACATGGGGAACTACAGAGCCACTGGGGTGGAGCCCGAAAGGATTTTTGAGTTAAGAATAAGCTTTAATGTTAATCGGGAATGTGAGCTATCATCATGCCAAATTTCAGCCCAATCCGTCCAGTAGTTTATGCGTGATTGAGCAACACACACACACACAAACACACA